GCACCATTCAAATTATAGTTGATTGTGTGCACATTTATTACAATAATTTTCCAGCAGGTGACAGTAAAATGTCTTAAGGAATGGCTGCTACCTGGACTAGCAAGATGTTAGACAGTTGCCATACACTGTAGTGGACAAGGTAGGCTAGGATAGGGTAGGGTAGGCCAGGGTAGGGTAGGATAGGATAGGATAGGTGAGGCGAAGATAGAATAGGGCATGAAAGGGTAAGGTAGGATAGGGTAGGGCAGAATAAGGCAGTGTAGGGTAGAATGGTATAGAATAAAGGCACCATGACAGGTGTAGCTAGCCTGGATCTGGGAGTTTTGGAAAGGCTTCCTGGAGATGACTTCTGATTGGGGATCTAAAGAATGTGTTGAAGTTAGGCAGATGAGGAAAGAGAAAAGGAAAGACTAAACAGCTTTGATCTGGCCAAACCCTGAAGTGATATTGAGATGGGCTAACATGAGAACCAGTTCATATAAGGTCTGTTAGCCAGATTAAGGACTTCAGGGTCTCCCCAGTGCCAGTGGAAAGCTGTGGAAGTGTTTTGAGCAGTGTCTTGAGCGGAGAGAAATGGATGATGCTGTAAGACTGGAGTCAGGGAGGCCAGTTAGGAGGCTTTCACAAGAGTACAGGGGAAAGATGAGGAGACTTGAGTTAATGCAGTGGCACTGGGGGTGGGAGCAGAGGACAGATTCCAGAGATATTTACGAGGAAGGACAGGTAGGACTTCTTATCATTAAGAGAAAAATCAGGCAGGAAATTTTTGTTGACTAAATGTAAGAGATGAGAGAGCTGGTGGAGGGCAGGGGAGGGTGTTAAAAATGACTCCAGAGTTTTAGTCTTGGGCACTAAAGTACATCGAGGTGCCATTCCTTGATCAAGGGATCAGAGTTTGAGGGGAGAGGGTGTAAAGAGGCTAAATTCTCTTGAGTCTAAGATGCTTGTTAGCAAACAGTTGGAGACATTGAGATGCAAGTTGGAGTCCAGGTCTAGGCATCAGAGGTCTGGAGATGAAGACTCAGGAGTCATCAGAATATAAGGGTGTGTTTGGGTTGGGTTTTTCAATCCCAAATTTCTTCTTCAGGTCTAGTTTTTGTCAAGGCAAAAAGCCTGCCTACCTAGTAACTGTGTTGATGGATTTTTTTTTTTAAGTGGTTGAAATTCTGAGTGTGGAAGTCTTAGAAATTAATACCATTTCCATCCTGTCAAAGGCATTGGAAGTCTGATAGAACCAGCCCAAGACATTGCTGATGCCTTTGAAGTTTCTGTTTTGATCTTTAAGAAGGAGGCCCCACTATCTTCTCATGCCTCTCAGGAGCGTTTATAGATATAAGGCAGGCTGAAATGATCTAGCACAACCTGACCAAACATTTATTCAAGTATCTACAATGTGCATGACACAAGGTCGGGTTCTGCTATCCAACAACAAACAAAGAACTCTCAGGTTCCATGGAGTTTGGGGTCTAGAGCAGGATTTCTCAGTCTTGGCACTATTGATATTTGGGGCCATATCATTGGTATGGGGACTGTCCAGTCGACTGTGGAGGTTGAGCAGTATCCCGACCTCTATGCAAATAATGTCAGTACCATTGTCCCCAAGTTGTTATCCTCAAAAATGTCTCCAGACTTGACAATGTCCTCCAGAAGAAGAAAAGGGAAATAACTAGCCTCAGTTGAGAATCCCTAGTCTAGAGTCATGGCAGAACCTGAAGTCTCCAGATAGCCAGCGGTCTAGCTGTGCAAAGAATCAGAAACTGTGCCTTATCACTTTCTGTATCAGTGATCTCAGAGATGGACACTCAAGGAAATCAGCAGTGCTAGCCTGAAATCCAGAAGACTCCATAGAGGAGACTTCTTGGATCCCCAGGTAGGAGTCCATCAGTCTAATCCAACTTAAGTTATAGGATCCTCTCCTGAGAAAGTTGCCCCCTGATGCCCATTTCCCCTCCAGACTAATTACTTCCTACATCCTGCTTTTCCTTAAGCAGAGCTGGCTTTGCACTTTACAAACACAACAGATCACCTCCTCAGAAGGCCACCAGCAGAACAAACCTGTGCTGGGGGCAGCTTGGGGTTGCCTAGCAACACCATGCACCTGCCAAGGCTACTTTCTTCCTCTTCAAGCTAAAAGCAAAGTCCTATCCATTAATTCCCAGCTACCACGAAACTTCTCAGAGATTTGCCAGCTTCCCACTGTTCGTGTTTTCATCTTCCTCATATGATGTGGAGAAAACCTGCTACTGTGGTCTGTTTATCTCACTTCAGTTGGTTGGGCGGAGAAAAAAATCAAGAGAGAAAGAGCGGGGGGAGGAAAAGCTTCATTTCAGTCTAAGAGCACAGATATTTTGAGTGCATATCTCTGACTGACGTGCTAGTGTTCTTTGCAAATTTAAATTTTATGTAGTAGACGTGGGTTTCCTACACAATGAGGCTTCTGTTGAGACTTTGGGCGTGATTTTAGTCAAACATGAGACCCCAAAATGGCTGAATAACAAAGCACATATAATAGACAGCATGCTGAGCGAATGTTGCTGGGTCTGTCATAGTGTTCCGTGTGACCCATTCAACCAAAACTCTTCTGGTAAAGATTGTAAAGCTGGAGGTGGCTGGAGGTTGGAGATAGACTCTTTTCCTTGAGAACCTCTGAAATATCCCTTGGGCTTTTCCTACCGAGTCTCATTTTGCTCCTGTAGAATTGTTTTACGGTATTTCTCTGAAACTGGGGATGGCTTCTACTCCCTGAACATTCTCACAGTCTGAACAAGAGGGATGTCACTGGTTCTGCAGGCAGGGCCTGGTGGGGGGCGGGGGGGCACCAGCTTAGTAAGGAAAGGAATGGAAATGTGAATCTGGGCCTCTGGGCTCTGTAAGGATAGGTGTGAATACCAGCTCGTCTTTGTGGAGGAATGCAAGCACTTAGGCTTCGTTTGCATCCTGGATTCAGTGCTGGGCTACTGCAGCCAAAGATAACAGGTTCTCTGGCAAGTTTCCTGCTTTCTCCTCTCAAGACAGCTCAGCTTCCTCACAGAGATCTCCCCACAGAGAACTTCTCCTCTTTCACTCATCCTCTTCTCTCAGGGCCTAACCCCATACCACATTCTGGAAAGGATGGGAGGGAACGAGCATTCAAAAGTAAGATACCATAAATAAAATAGGTACATTTCAACTCACTTTCAGACCCTCCAGACCTTCCTTCCGAGGAGGAGGCCTTAAAATTCCCACCACTGCCACATGCACAAATTGGGTTTATTGGCATTCTCATAAGGGTTACTCAAGAGAAGGGAGGAAAGATGGCAGGCGAAGGCCTCTGGAATACGGGAGGGAGAAGTAAGGGGAGATGCATGCTTTTGATTCAGAAGATTTGGGCCAGAATGGTTTCAAATCAATTACCTCCCTCACTGCAAAGCTCTTCATCCTCCCACCACAACCCAGTCTACCTTGCATTTCGTGTGGTTTAAAAAAAAATACACAGAGTGGTGCGCCTGGGTGACTCAGTGGGTTAAAGCCTCTGCCTTCAGCTCAGGTCATGATCCCAGGGTCCTGGGATCAAGCCCCATATCGGGCTCTCTGCTCGGCAGGGAGCCTGCCTCCCTTTCTCTCTCTGCCTGCCTGTCTGCCTACTTGTGATCTCTGTCTGTCAAATAAATAAATAAAATCTTTCAAAAAAAAATTATACATAGCTGGAGATAGACATGACAGAGAGGGAGACAGAATTAAAGGTAGATATTCAGGGAAGTTACTTTCTGAGGACAATGACATTAATGGTCATTTGGAGTCTGTTTAAATGAAGTAAGAAAACACACCTAGATTGCACAACTCTGTAAATTTCCAACAAGTCACTGCATTGTGCACTTAACACAGGTGAATTTTATGGTATGTAAATTATGACTCAATAAAGCTGTTAAAGGAAAAATGAAAACATATCCAGTAATTCTTGCCAGCAAGTAGATTTTGTGAGGGTGACAACATCCTACCAATTCTGTGCTGCTCTCTGCATCTTCTAGAGGGTGGCAGGGGCTCTGCTGGGGAGACTGTCCCACCCTGCTTTAGTGGCCCGCTCCCTGCCACCCTTTCTCATCTTCCCACACCCACGTTCCCGGGCCCTCCACTCAGGTCAGAAGGGTGGTAGCCACAGTTGTTTTAGGTGCTGGAGCAATTAGGGAATTAGGCAGGCTGCTGATTTCATACTTTTCCCCACCCCCAAAAAAGAGGAAAGAAAGAAAAGTTTACCACAAAATAAGAATTACTCGAATGCCACCTCATTCCTCATATACATACACATTTTTCTCTTTTCCCTGTTCAAGGCACTAAGTACCTACTCCTCCCACGGCCTTCAGACTCAGCAGTATTTTTAAATTATGCCATAAATAGGTTGAATGATAAACAGTCCACATTTTCAAGTGCCCCTTAAAACTAAATATTACAAAAATACGAGAATAGCCCAGGAGAACCAGCCTGTTCTTCATCCTAAGAAGCTTGTGATAATCACATATAAATATATCCTTAAAATTCTGAAAGATGGAAAGCACTTTGCCTCCATCCTGGGTTGATAGGGAATTTCCTGTCTTCTGCAGAAAGTATTTCTAAGAAAGAAAAAGAAAGAAAGAAAGAAAGAAGAAAGAAAAGGGTTTTTGTTTTTTGTGTTTTTTTTGAGGTAGCCTCAATCTTGAGCTACTAGCTGGAAATTACAGCCTACCTAGGCTTGTAATCTCAGAGCTGGTTTAGTTTTCTGGAATATTCCCCACTTTGGGAAGGTTGCCTCAGACCCCTTCACACAGGTCAGTGTCATTGGGGAGCCCCTGCATCTGGGACCCCACTGTGCCTTGCGACTGCATGCATTGCCTGCTTCCCCTTCTCTTTCGAAGGCAGGCACGGGCCCCACTCTGAGGCTGGCCCAGTGGCTGCCCTGCGGCCTTGCTCCCCCTTTGCATGGCTCCCCTGCTGGCCCAGCGCAGCCTCGCGCCCCTCCTTCTCATCCTCTGCATTTCTCCAACCAGATGGCTGCCCCGATTTGTGCAACGGCAACGGGAGATGCACACTGGGTCAGAACAGCTGGCAGTGTGTCTGCCAGACCGGCTGGAGAGGGCCCGGATGCAACGTTGCCATGGAAACCTCCTGTGCTGATAACAAGGATAATGAGGGAGGTGAGCAAGCGTCTTCTCATTCCCAGCCTCTCAAGTGCAGAGCATTGTGTATACTTCCATCATGAGTCATTTTTCCTGAAAGACCTCCCCCATACTATTGTCAAATGCTGTTGTAACATTTCTTTTGAAGTAAATGCCGCAGACGACGGGCATCTTTGGGCCAGTGGGAGGTTCCTGGAGACAAGAGCTGGGACTACTGGGGTTTGAAGCGGGCTTTGGATTCTCAAGTCCACACCACCCCCAGAAAGGTGGCTGGGCCCTGGCTTGGCCCCTGGGTGCGCATTCCTGCCTGAGCCTTTGGGACTGGGAGTTACAAATGAATCGATGGTGATGGTCACAGTATGTGTTTCACGCTAGACTCAGACATCTCAGGCAATCCATTCATCCTTACGACACTTTGAGATGTTCCTTTGTAACTGAGGAAACTGAGGCTTAGACCACAGTTAAGTAACTGTTTTAAGAGAAGTCAACCACCAATAGTAAAATTGGGACCCAAACCCGGATCTGACTCCAAAGTCCGCGTTCCCCCCAGTGGCTGGCGAACTACAGCCTGCTGCTGCTCGCATCCAGCCCACTGCCTGGTTTTATATGAGCAGCAAAATGGTTTTTACATTTCTAAAGTTTGGGGGAGGGGATCTAAAGAGGAACAATATTTCAAGATATGTGCAAAGTGGAATTCAAATTTTAGTGTGTACATATAAACTTTTATTGGACCATAACAATGCCTGTCAAATGTATGCTTCACCCTCAAAGACAGCATTGAGGAGTTGGACACAGACCACATGGCTGGTAAAGCCTAAAATATTTACTCTCAGACCCTTTATGGGAAATTTGCCAATCCCTGATGGAGTGCTAAGATCCTGGGGCTAAATGGGGTTGCGGTAGCACACGGGCTGTGTGATTTCCTAAGAATATGGAGCAATGCTGCCTTAACATTCAGGACAGGTAGGTGACCTACTCCCGCCAAAATGACTAAATGGTCAGAATTCCCTCAGAGCAGAAGTGGTTTCAGGGTGTAAGAGGATCCACGCATCCAACTATTTGACTTAACAGAAATGCATCTAGTCCCACTCTGTCAGTCCCTGTGCTCTGAGAATATCAACTCCTGCCCTCATGGCCCCAGGGCGTTGGCTTAGGTAGTGTCCAGAAAGGGGAACAATCAGTCAGGGTGATAGATGAAAGTACTAGATACTCTATTTTTATTTTTCCTCATCGTCTTAATAGACACTTGCAATTTCCATAATCTATTATTGCTGTTATACTTGTACATAATGTGTAAATAAGCAAATGTACATACAATGATAGGAGTACACCAATCAAAAAAGTTTATAGGCCTGATATAATTTACAGAGCTCCCATTCACTCATTTAGCTTCCTGAAATGGAGCCAAAATAGAAATCACTTTAATTCATTTTTCAATGAACTGAGCCATAACAGCATATATCCATACATTTTTTTTCCTCCCAAGAGAGTCAGTCAAAATTGCATTACTTCTCCTGATAAGGTCTGGTCCCTGGTAATTTCACCTAGCAAAGAAGTTGCTTATACCTCAGCTCCCTTCCTCTTCCAGAAAGGAGCTGCTGTCCTGGCTCCCTTCTCCACTGCAGGTGTCAGCAGCTAGAAACATAGGAAATGGCTGGAATGCTGCATGTAGGGGAAGGGGACTGCCCCCTCCCGCACACCCTGCACCATCGGCCTCCCTCTCTACCAGCCGTGTGGCTCCTTTCAGGAGCCCAAGTTCCTGACACAGGAGAACTGAAGGAGCGGGGAGAGGTGCTCGGTGGTGGACGGTCTAAGCCTGAGGACTGCTCTGTAGGCACGTGCAACCCAGGGTCCCTCCTGGTGGGCAGAGGCAGAGCGTCAGGAAGGCAAGGCACAGAAGCAAATGAGGCAGTGATTATGCTAAAGACAATAATGGCCTTGTTATGGGAACTATTAAAGCGAACCTCCCAAGGAAGTAATTAGCCACCAGGAAAAAAAAAAAAAAAAAAAGAAAAGGCTCTGCACAGTGTTTATAAAAAGAAACTCCCAGTTAATTCAGAGTTGCTTATGTCAGGTGAGAGAGGTAGACGCGGATTGTCTCTCACCCGGTGTAAGCAATTCACAATTAACTGAGTTCTTTTTTTGGAGGCGATTTCCTCAGTGCGGAGTATCCTTTTTATGGTTAATTACTTCCCTAGGAGGTGTGCTAAGCACTTTACTGTTTATTGATAAATATTAAAGTTGCTCCTCATCAACTCCAGATCCAATGCGGCAGCACACTAATTATATCACTTTTGTGTTTGTTTTGGTGGGGGTGGAAGTTCTGCCCCAGGCTCTTTCCTGCTCTGGGGGCTCTTGGGCAGGGCTGTGTGCTTTCTGAACCTGACAGCAGGTCAGAGGAGGCATCCAGGCAGCGCATGGAGGCCGGCCTGGGGAGCAGCTGCAGTGAGCACATTTGTTATGAGCCTCATGAATGGGGAAGTAATAGAGTGCTCTTCCAAAGTGAGCTGGAAGAGGCAAATCATTTTTTCATCTGGGAACACTCTACGTTTAGAAAAAAAAAAAAAAAAAGAATCTCAGTTGAAAGTGATAGATATGTTTTTATTTTAAACTGAGATAGATATAGATCCAAATATGGATACAGATATTTGAAGCCCTTATCAGCCTTTTTCAACCTGGGTTCCTCTGGAAGAGAATTAGTCCCTGGTGCCTTGTGGCCACTCGTAGTTCAGAAACTATAGCTGACAGCTCAACCGCCTGGAGCGCTTGATTAAACACAGATTGCCAAACCTTTTCCCCCAGAATTCCGGATTCCGCAGGTATGGGGTGGGGTGCAGGAATTTTAATTTTGAGGAAATTTCCAGGTAATGCTGAGGCAGATGCTCTTTGAGAACCATTGTCCTGAGACATTCATTCTCTAGAATAAATTGACTTGTCTCCTGTGCGACCAAAAAGGTACTACCAAAGTGCAGTCCTTAGAAGACCTGAGAAATTTCTCACTCAAACGTTTTCTGTATTCTGGGGTGCCTAGCTGAGAAGCCCTGTTGGAAAAAGTTGCCTAGGACTATCCCCCAAAGACAGTTTATGCCAGTTCCCTACCTTCTTTTTTTTTTTTTTTTAAGATTTTATTTATTTATTTGACAGAGATCACAAGTAGGCAGAGAGGCAGGCAGAGAAAGGAGGAAGCAGGCTCCCCAATAAACAGAGAGCCTGATGCGGGGCTCAATCCCAGGTCCCTGGGATCATGACCTGGGCCGAAGGCAGAGGCTTTAACCCACTGAGCCACCCAGGCACCCCACTCCCCTAACTTCTTAATCCCATCCCTTTGAAAGTCTCCCAATGCCCCGCAGCCAGGAGATCGCTAACTTAACCTCAGGAAGCACTAGCTGATGCCAAAGGGACGAGATGTCCCTGCCATTGCCCCCGAGAGGTAGAATCAGTTCCGACAGTCCTGCCGGCAAGCAGACTGTCTTTTTAATAGTGAAAGATCTTCACTTGAACTGCTCACCCCAATTTGAAAAAGAGACTCAAAGAAATATTTTTGCTTCCAGAAGACAAATACCAGCTCATTAAAGTCTGAGAATACATACAACATGTGCTTCAGGGGACAGGCAGATAATATTTAATTATCACCACCAAGACAGAGGTGTGAGATTCAGTTCATCACAGCCAGGGGTAGGAGAAAGGGTGTAGATTTCCTCTAAAAGTGGGAACCTCGAGGTGGGGAAGCACTGTTAGACCGCCTGGCCTGGAAAGACAGGCCTTACTCCTTCCCCACAGGCCTTTATCACCCAGAGCTTAGAGTCAGGAGCCCCCGCCCTCTGTCTGTACAAAGCCCAGCTCTCCTTGTTTCAAGCCAGCCTCCCACGGAACCCTATCAGACGCCCTCTCCCCTGTGTGTGGGTGGAGGCCTGGCGTGGAGGAGGTAGGAGAAAGCCCTTCTACACTGAGCTTGTCCTCGGGTAACAGTGCGTCACATCCTGTCTTCCTGTATTAGCGAGCTGTCGGCATCTCCTTCTGGGGCATTCACACGGCGCTAGAAGCTAGACTCTTGCTCCTTCTCCTGTCACTTCTCTGGTTGCTCAGGTGACGCAGTCACATCATGCTGGGTAAGAGCCTGGGCTCAGGAAGCTGTCTTTGTGTCCCACTTCTGTGACTATACTGACTCCTCAAAATCTCCGTTTTCTTGTCCGTGAAGTAGGCATGATAATGCCGACTCCATGAGCAGGTGTGTGGTTTCATTGACAGAGCGTATGCAGGGACATTTTACTAAGTGCCTGGTTCATGAGGCACCCTCACATGCCGCTTGCTGCCAGCTCTAATGTTATCGGCGGTAATGTTGCTGTTATTTCTAGAACGGATGCTGAGTCCACACAGATGGAACCCAACCGGTCGTTTTCCCACAGTCCATAACCACTGAGGTTCTAACCAGTGCTTATCATATGTCAGCACTCCATAACCTCCCTGATGGTTTAACAAATGTTCCTTGAGGGTTCGCTAAATGTTGGACATTGGAAATAGGCCTTTGGAAATACTAGGACAAATACGACGCCCGTCCACCAAGAGTTCGCATCTATCTGAAGAGACAAGATGTAGAACACCTTATTGTAGTTATTACCATCAGGGCTGACAGGGCAGAGGACTGTCCTTTCATGGGAGTGTAGAGAAGCAACTGTCATGGGGTGTGACTATCGGCCACAGGAAAGGAAAGAAGCCCATTGCCACGCTGAGCCCAACATCTTCAGTCTCTCTGCTAGGAGAGTACTCAAAGCCACGGACCTGTGGTCAGTAACCCATGATGGGGGCCCTTCCACCCACCAGCAGCTTCTACACTTCTCCCCCTAAATTAAGGCCTCCCTGACAGTAATCCGCAGCCTACCTCCATCTGCGAAGTTTGGTTCCTTGTTTTGCTCCAGAGGAGGCTGCCTTGGTTTAAGAGATGTGGATGCTGGCCTGAGTTCCAGGCACTTCAGCCAGGTCTAAATGAGGAGAAATAACACTGGAGTCTGTCCAAAGCA